TATTCAAAATGGATTTTTTTTGCGAGACGGAGGGAGTAGAAGAAACCGACAAGAGTTGGAAGAAAATTGAAGCAATTTGAAAAAAATTAGAAAAGAGTTGGAAAATGCTTAGAAAATAAAGTGATAAAAAATCACTGAATTAAATAATTACCAAAATAAATGTGTAAGAAAATTATTTTTGGATGAAAAAAGAAATACTCCCTCCGTTCTAAAACTTTCTTTTGAGAGCACTATTCCAACTTCACGAAAATTTATATTTATTTGTGTTTTTTCATGGCATATATGATAAAATAAAATATTCTTGTCACCACTTGTTTTGTTAAACTTTTGATGTAGTTTTTAAATATGTATGTTTTATTTTTTATTTCTATATCAATATTTAAATAAAATAGATTGAAAAAACTTGGAATTTTTCTTCGTTTTGCGCAACGGGAAGAAAGATATAGGACGGAGGGCAGTAATTTTTGTGCGCATTTAAGTTGATACGTTATAAATTTAAATATATAATGTTATTGTATATTCATCATATGTAAATACCATTTTGTAGTTAGAAGAAACTAAAATTAATTATAAAACAATCAGAGCAGGTACAATGGTGAGGCAAAAATGGAATGCCACACTTTGACGTGGATCATTTCAACCAATAAAAAATAGTCCAGTCAACGAGTGACACGTGAGTGTAGTGGCATGCCTTGCAGTGGCAAGTCATTGTTTTCATCATTTTTTTCATATTTTTGCCATATTTGAATTATTAAAAATTATTTTACTTATATATTTTTATCATGAAACTATTTGTATTTACTCAAATAAATAATTTTTTAGATATATTTTACTTATTAAAAATGTTTTTGTTATCTACTCCATATTTTTATTTATTCCTCCATCCAGTGGCGGAGCTAGGGAAGAATTCATGGGGGGGGGGGGCAAAAATTCATTTAAAAAATAAACAAAATTCAGAATAGTAACTACTTTAATTAGCAAAGTGCGACTAAACATACCTTCTATTTCTGCAAAGGAGTAAGAGTTGTTTGAGGCCGTAGAAAATTTTTTCGAGATGCCAACTTTTGAAAGCGCTGCATAATAACTTCATCATCAATGCTCCTAAAAATTTATTTCCCAAAATTGCACAACAGACAATCTGATAGAAGCTCATCTCTCAAACGGTTGCGTAAATCAGTATTGACAATATTCATTGCAGAAAAACTCTTTTCCACTGAAGTTGTTCCAACAGGTAATATCAATGCCAATTCTATAAGTCGATATACCAAAGGAAAATATGTGTGATAATTCATCTACACCATCTTCTTTGCAAGACTACCAAGATTCAATAATAATGTAACAAAATAATATCAATAACGTTAAAACAACAATTTCATATTTCTTAATTTCTAAAACTTCAAATTACATTAACATTTATCAAATATTTAAATATCAACAAACACGCAAGAATCATGGAACAAAATAAAAATTTAAAATTCAAAACATAATTTAGCAATATTCAAAAATGTCAAATATTCAGAAACAAATTTTAAAATTTGATAAATAAAATTTACATATACGTAGACAATGAGAGAAGATCGGAAGTTTGGATGAAGGAGCACAGAAGAATTAAAGAATCCTTCGACAGTTCGACCGACTTGCCTATTGCGCCACTGCGTTTGGATTTCTTCTCCAATCACCAGTGTTGCTGTTTGAAATAATTGCTTTGATGCTTTCGCAGTTTCGCCCAGCGTGGAGAAGAATATTGCTTTCGGCCTTTCAATTCGCCGTTTCTGCTACAGTGCTACTGTATTGCGCCACTCCCCTTTTTTTGGACAATTGGGCATTTGGGCAATTGGGCTGTTGGGCCGAGTATTTGGCAGGGTTAAATAATTTTTTTTAACCCAATACTAAAACGACGTCGTTTTGCATCTTTTTTTAAATCGGCAGTTTCTTCTTCTTCTTATCTTCTTCAATCTGTCGGTCGGCTGTGGACTACTGGAGCACACCTGCGATGCTGCGACAATTGGGGGGGCAATTCCGGCCTCCCATCACCGATCGGGTACACTAACAATAGTTCGCCGGAATTTCGGCCCCCCTCCTCCGCCCCTGCCTCCATCTCAAATTAGATAATTTTTTAGGATTACGATGCAAAAAAATCTTTGTTTTTAAAAATGGCTAAAATCCACCATTGGTCCTTCAACTTTATCAGTTGTGCACGATTGGTCCTTCAAGTTTCAAAAGTCTATAAATAGTCCTTCAACTTTATGAGTTCTGCACCATTGGTTCTTCAAGTTTCTTAAGTAGTTCTTCAGGTACACGTCAGTCCTCCAGATGAAGTCCTTTTGACAGTAAATATTAAAAGTTAAATCAAGTACTAGTTTAATATATTATGAGTAAATTCCACTAGGTACGACTACTTCGTGTTCTATGGAGCTAGTATTCCATTTAGCTTTTAACATTTAGTGTCAAAAGGACATCATCCGGAAGATTGATGTATACTTGAAGAACTACTTATGCACTTTTAAAACTTGAAGGACCAATCGTGCTTGACTCATAAAGTCGAAAGACTATTTATGGACTTTAAAACTTGAAGGACCAATCGTGCACAATTAATAAAATTGAAGGACCAATGGTGCAATTTAGCCTTTAAAAATTGATATAAGAATTGAATCTCTACTTCTAATTTAGGAAAAAAGGGATCCAAAATGTGCATAATACAAATGGGCTCAAAAGACCAAAACATTTACTCAGTTGTGTCTCCAAATTATAATTATTTGAATATGAGAGCGAGTTGTGAAGAGAATTCTGCATGGTCTTCCCAGTTCTTCTTCCCAAAATATTTCTTCCCAAAATATCTGTGATGATGAAGGAAAAGTATGGTAAAGTAGCTTAGAATATCTTGACATAGTATGCAATCTAAGTATGTCTCATTTTCTTTCAAACGTTAATGACTATGGCATCATTTGCACGGTGTATAGATTGATTTAATTCATTCTAACAGAAGTTAAAATAGCAAAGCTTGCATTATTGTATTTTGAGTTAAATATGTTACGGAGTATATAGGTTTGTGTTCTTGAGTGCATTTCAAGACGAAACCATCAGAGACAAGAAAAGATGGTTTGCTTGTACATGCAACTCTGTATGCTGATATCCAAACGCGAGTCTCTATTTTAATTGTAATATGACTAGATAGTTTTAGTTTCCTAAAGGTTTTTATACTTAGTTGGTTCCTGAAAATTATATTATTGTATACATTATCAAATTAGAGTCATTTTTTCAATTAGGAAATTCAAAAGTTAGTGTGTTTAGGGCTGGACACGGTACCGGTTCGGTACCGTCACCGGAAACGGTACCGCCGGTACCGAGCACCGTAACGCACACCGGAACGGCGAAACGGTTCCGAGAACCGGCACCGGTACCGCCACAACCAGTCTCGGTTCCGGTGCCCGAAATTCGTTACCGGCACCGCCGGTACCGGTTCCGGTACCGGTTAATTTTTTTTTCGTTTTTTGCTCCTTTCTGCTCTCCATCTCCATCATCCGGTACAAGCTGCATCCGCTGCAATTTAATTCTCTTCAGCCGAAATTCTTCTGCTCTGCTCTCCATCTCCATCTCCGGCCAGGTGCCTTTTTCATCTCCTTCTCCATCTCCTTTTTCAGCCTTCTCCATCTCCTTTTTGCTCCTTTTTTCACAAAATTCAATAAAAAAGCAAAAAAAAAAAAATTGGGGGTGGCCGG